ACCCAAGTGTCCATTACCTACAAAGAAAATATGCATAAATAATCATTAATATGAATTCGATTAGAATTTCAATAGTATGGCATTTAAAAGAATTGAAATTGTTATTATTAAATTATAATTCAATTATTCGATTATAATTATAAGTATAATAATAATTAATATTATAATTATAATTATTAGTTTTACCATTAGATTGCGAATTAGAATTATAATTTATATTACCTCAATATACTCAAATAGAGAATCAACAGAACTAACAACAATGTCACCATCATCAAGTCCTTGTAGTTCGGTCTTCACAATGATTGAGCTACTTGACACCAATTTGGTGTCCTTAAATTCAGTCATAGCCAGCCTACGTTGTAGAATAACATAAACAATGATAAGTTATAATATGATGATACACAGTAACCAATGGAAGCATTGGAGCATCAAATAACATGTACCTTCTCCGAAAATCTTCAATTTCGGGAACATCCACACCAATGATCAACGTCACGTCCTTCGACGTGCTTATTTGAACATCACCTATTACACAAAATATTGTCATTAACAATTATTATTAGCCAAAATTTCAATTCATAATCAAAAAATCGTTAAAACTAAAATAATTAATTACCTCTCCACTCTCTTGCGCGGCACATTTGCATTATGATGACAAAAGGTGTTTTTTCGTTTTCATAATGATGCTCCAAAGCAATCAGCTGATCAACATATCGACCCCAGACAGTGCATTCCTTGACGTTACCCCTACAGAATGGATACAGTTTTTTGAATATTTTATTTAAAATAGTTTTAAAAAAAAAAATACATAACATAGTTATGTCATATAAAACGTTTTAATAGAAGGCTACAAAATATTACTCCAAATCTATAATAGAGAACACAATCATTTGGGTAGGAACTCCCTTCACAACCTTCATTTGGATTGGTTATATTGAAACAACTAATCCAATGATATCTACAAAAAAATAAAAGAATGCATCATATATTACATCATTTAAAACAAATCGGGAAAATATATACATATGTATATATATATATATATATATATATATATATATATATATATTACATATGTTCTATATTATATATATATGTAACGTACCAAACAAAATGGCTTCCTCAATGTTACGAACATCCATCAAAGTTAAAAAATTTCTAAAGTCAAAACGAAAAAAGGGAAAATCTCCCTTCCATTTGACAATCTTGGTTTGGCCATGGATGATGATCCTCCATTTTCCTATGGAAGATTTATAGATGCCGATATTACTTTCAACTTGATAATTTGTCAAAATATAAAAACCACCTTCTTCAATATTGCCTTTGAATTTTTGGATATTGACAGGACGAATAATGCCAGTAATTCGTACACCCTAAAACAATACAAATTGAATAATTAAATATATGAGCTATAAAATATAAAATATGTCACGTTGAATGATGGAATCGGAATTATTGGTGAATTAAATTTTAATCTTAAAGTTAAAATTAAAAATAAATGTAAATAATAATAAAAAATATATTACCTCAACATCATGAAAGACAATCTCAAGAACATTTCGATAATTGCGTACATCTTCGACTCGTTGGAACATCCTAATAATGCGTAGCTTGATGGGTGGCTTTTTGGATATGTCGATATCCTTGATGACTCCAAAATCCAAAGGCATTGTGAATGTTGTTGTAAAAGCTTGTCGAAAAAAATGGATTTGTGGGATGTGTATGATGTCGAATATCTGTTGAAAAGTTTGTGATATTTATATAAGCCCGTGCGATGAAACTATCGTGAACTATCCGATAATTTTTTAACGGAATCTGTGTTAATATCCGATATTTTTGACAATGATATTAATAATATCCCATAGGATCCGATCGGATTTACTTACAAAAATAAATTGATGAGTTGGTTAAAAAATGAGGACTCTATACACGGCTGAAATTTTGCACATATGAGGATACCCATTGAATTCGCTCGTAATACTGTTTTTTTGGTAAATAAAATCGCAAAAAAGTTGGAACAATATCGGGACAAAACAATCGCAACATTTCTTTAACAGTATCGATTCCATCATTTGAAGAGAAGCGAAACAAATTTGAAGAAAATCTGCATCATTTAAAGTCAACGCATTATTGAATCCGATTTTATTGGGAAAGAAAATCGAAACAAATTTGAAGAGAATCAGATTTATAAATCAACTAAAATTTTGGTAAATGAAATCGCAAAAATATTGGAACAATATCAGCGCAAGACATCGCAATTCTATTTTTCCAAAATGATTTTTGAGGTGATAAAGAGTAAACTTAAATTAGCAAGTCAAAGCATTATTTTTTAAGTCAACCTTACTATTTTTGTATTTTTCCATCAACCTCTTTATATTACTATAGATTATTTTTTTCACAAATGTTAACTTTCATTCTAAAATATTTATAAACAATCGTAACATGTTAAATAATTCTCCCTCTAACTAACTAGCCGAAATCAAATTGGTAAATATATATATATATAATAAGAATTACTATTTACCAAAAATAGTAGTAAAAAAATAGGTCAGAATTTTATACAGCCTATAAATAGTAAGTTTTATTATTTTTTTTTTATTTTTTTCTTTAAAAATCATACAACATTAAATCTTACCTTAAATTTTGGGCTTTAGTTCATTTTATTATTTAAAAAACTCGGCTAAGATTTATTAAGTGTGTATGTTTTTATTTTTCTTTTTTTATTAGAAACAATGAACAACATTAAAATCTTGGTCTTTATATTTATAAAATCTCAATTCAAAATATAACAAAAGGTTTAAAATCTCGGTCTTTATATTTGTGCCTTTAAAAAAAATATTGAACGCTAAAAATATTCTTTAAATTGCATAATCTATCAATTAATCTTAATTTTTTGAAAATTACTATGTTTATTTTTTATTAATATGCATAAAGTAAAAATAATTAATTCATCTTTATGTGTAATTTATAATCTTAATATACTGTCATTTGGTGTAGACATTTATTATATGAATCATAAAATATTTTTATTTCATAAAATTAAATATATTTAAAGAAAAATAAGAAAATTTCATTTATGTGAATTAAATAATATTTTACTATAATATTTATTATCGTATAGTAAATATAAGGTTTTCAGAACTGGACCGTCATCGAAACGATCAAGCTATTTTATTAAATCATTTGCGTTTTGTTCAGATTTTAATTTATAAATATTTTAATATATATATATATAATACTTTTTGTAATAAATTAAAATAAAATGTATTACTTAGATATCTAAACAATTTATAAATTCAAATGTTTAAACTAATTGATAAATAATTTATAAATCTCTATTTTATTTAAATATGTAATTTTATTTAAAATAATTTTAAATAAAAAAATATATATAGAAAATCGTATCGATGCTACCAGTCCAACCGACTAGTGTTGACGGATTCAAGAATATTTTATTCAAGCGAACTAGACTGGTTATAAAACGATTCTCGGTCCATCCGGTCGGACTGTGTCCAACGCGGTTTAATTTAAAAACAATGGATAAATCATGATTAATGTTATTTATATATTTAACCTATAATACAATCGCAATTTTGGTTTCTCGTGCATCGCACGGGCCACGCACTAGTTAATAATTATATGACAACAAATATTATAATAAAATAATAATTGAGTATTAAATGGTGAACAAGAATAAACATAATTTTTATTTTTTTTTCTTATATCGATGAACAAATATATATTGTGGAATCAAATTTATATTAGTATAACGTGCTGGCAGAATGATATATTAATTAACATATCAACGTTATGACTAAAATAAATGTCACTGATTGAAAGAAGTGGAAAATTAATGATCCAACCCTATTATTTTTTACCAACATGTACAAGCCCTATAGAAATGACTCAATTAATATATGTACAAATCCTATATAAATGACTCAATTAATATATGTGTCCCAGCACTTTCTTTAAGAAAGTTAAAAATAAACTGTCCAAGAACAGGTGATAAGATAAGTGTCATTAAAAAAGTTTCAACTCCGAAAACATCTTCTTTTTATCAGTATATAAAAAAAAAAAAGCTGATTGCTTCAAGATCTATATTATGTAACATCAATGACTTCAGTGGGACGATGGTAGAATTTTTTCTTCTTATATTAGTGAAGGGATTTTTCTAAAATCTAAGAAGAAAAAAAACATATGAGATAAGAATACAAGACGTAGTTGAAATCTTTAGACTTGCAATTTGAGTAAGGCCGAGTCTATTTCAAAGTCGATACCTTGACGCAGCGAATGTAGACTTATGTAATTCCAATTGAACACAACTCTATAGGCAGTCTGCGTGAAGTTACAGAAAACTTATCTACTTATGAGATATTTATAATTTTCTTTTTGGAAAAGAAAAATATATGGGCTTATAATAAGTTAATATGGTTAATATATTTCACTTGTGTAAACTAGTTAATAATCACTCTTACATGTTGAGGAAGCAATGTATCTCGAAGGATATAAAGAGCCACCCAATTTTAGAGATTTTAATATTATTAATGTTGAAAGAATATATTTGCATAATGATGGGAAAAAAGAATATCAAATTTATTTTATATTTACATGCCCTATGACAAGGAAAGACAATCGAAACATTCTTATAATTAATACAATGTGAAAGAGCAATGAAATTCGATGATAGAGACAATTAAAAGATAACAACACATTTGTAGAAACCAAACGACAATTCAACTAAAAAAGTAATGAAATCTTCATTCAAAAAACAAAATAATAAAACGTTATAATAAATTCAAAATTACAAAAAACAAAAAC